GGAGAGGGGAGAGAGGCACGCTAGGTGCGCTCGCGTCATATCTGACATCCTACCCCTCCCTCCCATCCCTTACCATGGCGCAGATCCCCTCTCTACTCGCTCAGTCGGATGTCGAGCAGGGCAATGATGGGTACGCGATGCATTGTAGAGCACGGCATGGCATGGCGTAGGAGAGCACCGCAAAGCGTAGTATCAACCTAGCATTGCATTGCATGCCGTGGCATGGCACGGGAAATGACGCCAGCGCTGCAGCGGGAGCACGAGTCGAATCGAGCGGAAGCGCGGAAATGAGGCCAGCGCTGCAGCGGGAGCACGATTCGGAACGAGCGGAAGCACGGAAATGAGGCCAGCGCTGCAGCGGGAGCACGATTCGGAACGAGCGGGGCCCGAAAATGAGGCCGGCGCCTCAGCGAGAGCAGCATGTTGAACAAACATGCAGGCGAAAACCCAACTCCGGGGAAACTTGTGTGTAAAAAACAGTACGCGGGGGGGGTGGTCTTGCCTTTTTCAAACCGTCATCAGGGGAAGAGGGAGAGTAGTATTCAGAGTGAGTAATTGTAGAGAGGAGGGACGAGCAGGGAGGAGAAGGGAGTTGGAGGGAGGAGGAGGAGGAGGAGGAGAAAGGGGGAGCAGGAGCAGGAGGAGAAGAAGGAGGGAAGAGGAAGGAGGAGGAGGAGTAGGAGAAGGAGGAGGAGGAGGAGGAGGAGGAGGAGGAGGGGGAAGAGGAGGGGGAAGATGATGATGCTGATGCTGATGCTGCTGCTGATGATGATGATGATGATGATGATGGTGCTGATGATGATGTGTTGATGTGTTGTTGATGATGCTGATGATGTTGTTGATGAGGTTGAGGATGTGGATGAGGATGAGGATGATGATGATGATGATGATGATGATGTGATGATGATGATGATTGTGATGTGATGTGATGTTGATGATGATGATGCTGATGATTGTCATGCTGATGATGATGATGATGATGATGCTGATGGAAGATGTTTGATGAGGAGGATGAGGATGAGATGAGTTGAGGATGATGATGATGAGGAGGAGGATGATGGCTGATGATGTTGATGTCTGATGAATGATGATGAGGAGGAGGAGGAGGAGCAGGAGGAGGAGGAGGAGGAGGAGGGGGGTAGGCGAGGGAGGGGGAGGGAGGAGGAGGAGGAGGAGGAGGAGAGAGGAGGAGGAGGCGGAGGAGGAGGAGGAGGAGGAGGAGGAGGAGGAGGAGGAGGGGGAGGGGGAGGGGGAGGAGGACAAGCTAGGTGCGCTCGCGTCATATCTGACATCCTACCCCTCCCTCCCATGCCTTACCACGGCGCAGATCCCCTCTCTACTCGCTCAGTCGGATGTCGAGCAGGGCAATGATCCCGAAAGGGTACGCGATGCATTGTAGAGCACGGCATGGCATGGCGTAGAAGAGCACCGCAAAGCGTAGTATCAACCTAGCATTGCATTGCATGCCGTGGCATGGCACGGGAAATGACGCCAGCGCTGCAGCGGGAGCACGAGTCGAAACGAGCGGAAGCGCGGAAATGAGGCCAGCGCTGCAGCGGGAGCACGATTCGGAACGAGCGGAAGCACGGAAATGAGGCCAGCGCTGCAGCGGGAGCACGATTCGGAACGAGCGGGGCCCGAAAATGAGGCCGGCGCCTCAGCGAGAGCAGCATTTTGGAACAAATGCAAGCGAAAACCCAACTCCAGGGAAACCTGTGTGTAAAAAACAATACGCGGGGGGGGGGTCGGCCACTTTCAAACCGTCATCAGGGGAAGAGGGAGAGTGGTATTCATATTGAGTAATTGTGGAGGAGGAGGAGGAGGAAGAGGAGGAGGAGGAGGAGGAGGAGGAGGAGGAAAGGGAGGAGGAGGAGGAGGAGGAGGAGGAGGAGGAGGGGGAGGAGGGGTAGAAGGAGCAGCTCGTCTCGCCCGCCAACGGCGCCGTCCCTGCAGCAGTCGCAGGCGGTGCCTCGGCCGAAGCTGCCCGCCGCCCCTGCCCGCAGCCCTCGCCGTCCGCCCCGCTGCCGCCCGCGTGCGGGCAGGACTGGTACGTATCCGCACCTCGAGCAGAGGCGGGGCGTCCTGGCTTCCCAGACCTCCTCGCGCTGTGAAAAAGTCACGGCGGGAGGTTTTTCGCTATTTTCGGCCTCTGGGAGCCCTTCCCGTGCCTCGGGGCCGTCAAAGAACGCGACTCAGGATGAAAAACCGGTCCCTGGGAAACGGGTCCAGACTTCTGGGGGTCGACGTTGTGGATCGGGGGTCTGGGCTATACGCCCACCAAGATGTTCTGGCACATTTCTGGCTGAGACTGTCTGGTGGTGTGCTCGACATGTTCTCAGCACGTTTCTGGCTGAGGCCGTCGTGTTTTTTAGCGCATCGGGCTCGTGTTCTGAGGGCACCGTTTTTGTTCTTAGAACATGTCTGGGTTCAAAGAACATGTGGTGGTAGGCCTACAGGAGTGCCTGGGAAGGGGCGCCAAGAGGCCGAGGCGCAATGGATACGCGCCTCGGGTGTCTGGGGAAGAGAGCCCGAAACTCCAAGATGCAGTGGGTATGGATACCCAGACATGCGATGCCTTGATTTTCTCAGAGCGCGGCCCCCGGAAGTCCCGACCCGAGGACTGGGACCGGTCCAACCCGAGGAGGAGGAGGAGGAGGAGGAGGAGGAGGAGGAGGAGGAGGAGGAGGAGGAAGAGGAGGAGGAGGAGGAGGAGGAGGAGGAGGAGGAGGAGGAGGACGAGGACGAGGACGAGGACGAGGACGAGGAGGAGCGGTTGCCCGGGACCGGTCCAACCCGAGTCGTTTTTTGGTGGTTCCAGGGTCCAGCGAGGGCCCCCGGAGGTCGAAACGGGCCAGACACTTCCCGTCCTGATTTTTTTCACGGTGCGGGCCTGTCTGGGTCAGCCTGCGGCCCCGCGTTGCAGCGGCAGCGGCTGGTGCCTCGTCTGGTGCCCTCATGAAAACGTCACGGCGGGAGGTCTTTAGCGATTTTCGGCATCAGGAGGCCCTTACTGGGCCTCGGGACCGTCAAAAACGACTCAAGATGAAAGCCGGGTCCCGGGGAATGGGTCAGCGACCTCTGGGGGTCGGCGTCATGGTAAATTCGTGACATCGGGGGTCTGGGCCCCGCGCCCTCCTCCTTCGATGTGAGTCGCGGAGTCGCCTGAGCAGGCGGCTCGAGCCCTCATGTGTTTGAAGGGCACCCTACCACCCCCTTCAGAAGACGATCCTGGGAGCCTTTCACTGTCGCTCAGTGTGGCTTGGCCACTGGGGACCGCTGGAGGAGCCGCTGCGGCCACTCGGGTCATCACGCAAGGCCCCCACAGGCGTCTTTGAATCCCTCCCTTTCGCCTCCCCCTCCTCTTCCTCCTCCCCCCTGCTCTCCTTCCCTCTCCCCCTGTCTCCTCTCCCCCTCCTCCCCCCCCTTCGCTCATCGTTCACACCTCCGAGACCTCGAGCGGTCGCTCGTCGTCATCTTCCTGGGAAACCTCTGTTTTTTTTGTTTGTTTGTTTGTTTTTTTTGCTATCCTTTTTTTTTTTTTTTGTTTTTTGTTTTTTTGGTTTTGCAATCCTTCGAACCGCCGAGGCCCCCCCCCTCCCGACGAAGGTCTACGCGCTGGCGCCCTCGCACTCCAGCGCCGGCGCGTTCTACTCGGGCTCCAAGGATCGGCCCGGCCCACCTCGCGACGAGGCAGTGCGCAGGGGAGGACCCAGACCTCCTGGCGTCGCGAAAAAATCACGACGGGAGGTTTTTCGCGATTTTCGGCCCCCGGGGGCCCTCCCCGGGCCTCGGGAGCGTCAAAAAACGACTCAGGACGAAGAACCGGTCCCGGGGAAGGGGTCCGGACCTCTGGGGGTCGACGTCGTGAAAAAATCACGACGACGGGAGGTGGAACTCGTGCGAGATGTGAGCAGGGATGAAAGGAGCAGAGAGGAGGGATAAGAGAAGAACTATGATGATGATGATGATGATGATGATGATGATGATGATGGTGGTGGTGGTGGTGGTGGTGGTGATGGATGATGATGATGATGATGATGATGATGATGATGATGCTGCTGCTGCTGCTGCTGATGGTGGTGGTGGTGGTGGTGGTGGTGGTGATGGTGGTGATGATGATGATGATGATGATGACGACGACGATGGTGATGGTGGTGGTGATGGTGATGGTGATGGTGGTGATGCTGATGCTGTTGCTGCTGCTGCTGCTGCTGCTGATGATGATGATGATGATGATTATGGTGATTATGGTGATGATAATGCTGATGCTGGTAATGCTCATGATGATGATGGAGATGGTGATGGTGATGGTGATGGTGCTGGTGATGATGGTTATTATGATGATGCTGATTCTGGTGATGATGCTGCTGACGGTGATGATGGTGCTGATGCTGGTGATGATGATCATGATGATGGTGATGATGATTCTGATGATGGTGATGGTGACGATGCTACTGATGATGCTGATGATGGTTATGATGATGAATATGATGATGATGATGAGGAGGAGGAGGAGGAGGAGGATGGTGATGGTGATGATGGCGATTACGATGGTGATGATGGTGATGGTGGTGGTGATGATGGTGGTGATGATTAATGGTGATCATCTCGATGATGATCGTGATGATGAAGATGCTGATGATGCTGATGTTGCTGATGATTATCATGATTATGCTGAGTATGGCAATGATGATGCTGATGATGATGGTGGTGATGGTGATGATGAGGATGGTGATGATCGCGATGCTGATCGCGATGATGATGATGCTGATGATGCTGATGTTGCTGATGATAATACTGATTATGCTGAGTATGGTAATGATGATGATGCTGATGATGATGCTGCTGATGATGATGCTGATGATTCTGATGGCTCTGCTGAGTATGGTAATGATGATGGTGATGATGGTGATGATGATGATGATGATGATGATGATGATGATGATGATGATGATGATGATGATGGTGGTGGTGGTGGTGGTGGTGATGATTCTGATGAAGATGATGATGATGCTGTTGCTGCTGATGATGAGGATGATGACGAGCGGAGGATTAGGTGGGGGAGGAGGAGGAAAAGGAGGAGGAGCAGTAAGAAACCGAGATATAGTCCCAATGGGCACGGTGACGATGATAACCAAATCAATACTAATAAGAGGAGGAGGAGGAGGAGGAGGAGGAGGAGGAGGAGGAGGAGGAGGAGGAGGAGGAGGAGGAGGAGGAGGAGGAGGAGCGAGGGTGTGGGGAAGACGATGGAAGATGTTGGAGGAGAAGGACAAACATCGAGAGAATGAGAGCGCAGATAGGAGGGGGGCAGGGGGGAGCGATACAGACCGAGTAAGGACAGCAGTTTGCGTTCGACTGCTTTGAAGGAGCACTGCGTCTTCCCCGCAGCTTCTCCTCCGACTTTGGGTTTCTTTCAGCACGACTGTAGTACAGATTTTTCTTTTCTTGTCTGGTTTGTCGCCCTCGTCCTTCGTCGTCGTTCTCCTCCTCCCCCGTCATGGGCGAGCCGTTTGTCCTCCGAGCTGAAGATTCAGACTCCCTCTCCCAGCAGCTGATGGTCTCCCTCTAGTGCGTATTTCTGTAGGGTGGATTGGCCGGTCGCGTCCTGATCCTGTCGCGAGAGGCTCGATGCTGGATGTGTCGGACGCGGGGGGAGAGCCTCCTCCGAAAGCGAGACTAGGTCGTGGGCTCGGGGTTGGCGCAGCATCGTCCTGCTCGTCGTGCTGTGTCGACGGAATGGACGCGGAAATCTGCAGTCCAGCTCCCCGCTTCCCCGCCGAGGTAGGGCCCAGTCTGGCGCGAAGAGGCGAATGGTGGCTCGACGTTCTTGGGATATTCGCGCCCTCTCTCTCTGCCCCCCCCCTCCTCAACAAAAAAAAAGAGGACTCGGGGCTGGCGGTGTCTGTCACCACCTACCAAACCACCCCAACCCAACCCGAAGGCGTCAATTTGCCCTCCATTTCCAGTGGGGTGGGGGGGTCGGGGAACACTGAGAAAATACACATGGAACCCGTACCCCCCCCAACCCGAAATTCGGGTCTTCGGGTTGGGTTGGGGTGGTCTGGTAGGTAGTCAGTCTGGCGTGGAGGGGGGCTTCTGACACGGGAGGAGATCCACAGGGCAGCCGGGGGTCTTGGGAAGGGCCGTGGGGGCCTCTGCCACAGAAGCAAGGGCAGCACGAAGGATTGCAAAACACGAGGGTCTTTTTGCAATCCTGCGAGGTTTTTTTTTTTTTTTTTTTTTTTTTTTGGGGCAATCCTTCGAGGGTTTTTTTTTGCAGTCCAGGGTCTTTTTGCAATCCTACGAGGGTTTTGTTTTGCAATCCTTCGAGGGTTTTTTTGCAGTCCAGGGTCTTTTTGCAATCCTACGAGGTTTTTTTTTTGCAATCCTTCGAGGGTTTTTTTTTGCAGTCCAGGGTCTTTTTGCAATCCTGCGAGGGTTTTTTTTTTTGCAATCCTTCGAGTGTTTTTTTTGCAATCCAGGGTCTTTTTGCAATCCTGCGAGGGTTTTTTTTGCAATCCTTCGAGGTTTTTTTTTGCAGTCCAGGTTTTTTTTGCAATCCTGCGAGGGTTTTTTTGCAATCCTTCGAGGGTTTTTTTTTGCAGTCCAGGGTCTTTTTGCAATCCTGCGAGTGTTTTTTTTTGCAATCCTTCAATGTTTTTTTTGCAATCCAGGGTCTTTTTTGCAAACCTGCAACGGTTTTTTTTGAATCCTTCGAGGGTTTTTTTGCAGTCCAGGGTCTTGTTGCAATCCTACGAAGGTTGTTTTTGCAATCCTTCGAGGGTTTTTTTTGCAGTGCAGGGTCTTTTTGCAATCCTGCGAGGGTTATTATGCAATCCTTCGAGGTTTTTTTTTGCAGTCCAGGGTCTTGTTGCAATCCTGCGAAGGTTTTTTTGCAATCCTTCGAGGTTTTTTTTTCCAGTCCAGGGTCTTTTTGCAATCCTACGAGGGCTTTTGTTTTTCAATCCTTTGAGTCTTTTTTTTGCAATCCAGGGTCTTTTTGCAATCCTTCGAGTTTTTTTTTTTGCAAGCCTTCGAGGGTTTTTTTGCAGTCCAGGGTCTTTTTGCAATCCGACGAGGTTTTTTTCTTTTGCAATCCTTCGAGGTTTTTTTTTTTTTTTTTTTTTTTTTTGCAATCCAGGGTGTTTTTGCAATCCTACGTTTTTTTTTTTTTTTTTTTTTTTTTTTTTTTTTTTTTTTTTTTTTTTTTTCCAATCCTTCGATTTTTTGCAGTCCAGGGTCTTTTTGCAATCCTGCGAGGGTTTGTTTGCAATCCTTCGAAGGTTTTTTTGCAGTCCAGCGTCTTTTTGCAATCCTACGAGTTTTTTTTTTTTTTTTTTCTCTTCCAATCTTTAGATTTTTTTTTTTTTTTTTTTTTTTTTTTTTTTTTTTTTTTTTTTTTTTTTTTTTTTTTAAAAAAAAAAAAAAAAAAAAAAAAACATGATCTTTTTGCAATCCTGCGAGGTTTTTTTTTTTTTTTTTTTTTTTTTTTTTTTTTTTGCAATCCTTCGAGGTTTTTTTCTTTGCAGTCCAGGGTAGTTTTGCAATCCTGCGAGGGTGTTTTTTTGCAATCCTTCTAGGTTTTTTTTTGCAGTCCAGGGTCTTTTTGCAATTCTAGGAGGGTTTTTTTTTTTTTTGGCAATCCTTCGAGGTTTGTTTTTGCAATCCAGGGGCTTTTTGCGATCCTGCGACGGTTTTTTTTTGCAATCCTTAGAGGTTTGTTTTGCAGTCCAGGGTCTTGTTGCAATCCTGCGAGGGTTTTTTTGCAATCCTTCGAGGGTTTTTTTTGCAGTCCAGGGTCTTTTTGCAATCCTGCGAGGTTTTTTTTTTTTTTTTTTTTTTTTTTTTTGCAATCAGTCGAGGGTTTTTTTTTTTTTGCAGTCCAGGGGCACTTGGCAATCCTGCGAGGGTTTTTTTGCAACCCTTCGAGGGTTTTTTTTTCAGTCCAGGGTCTTTTTGCAATCCTGCGAGGTTTTTCTTGCAATCCTTCGAGGGTTTTTTTTGCACCCCAGGGTTTTTTGCAATCCTACGAGGTTTGTTTTGCAATCCTTCGAGGTTTTTTTGCAGTAAAGGGTCTTTTTGCAATCCTGCGGTTTTTTTTTTTTTTTTTTTTTTTTTTTTTTTTTTTTTTTGCAATTCTGGTTTTTTGCAATTCTGGGTTCTGCAATCCTGCGAATTTTTTTTGCAATCCTTCGACGTTTTTTTTTTGCAGTCCAGGGTCTTTTTGCAATCCTGCGAGGGTTTTTTTTTGCAATCCTTCGATGGTTTTGTTTGTTGCAATCCAGAGTTTTTTTTGCAATCCTACGAGGGTTTGTTTGCAATCCTTCGAGTTTTTTTTTTTTCCAATCCAGGTTTTTTTTTTGCAATCCTACGAGTGTTTTTTTTGCAATCCAGGGTCTTTTTGCAATCCTAGGAGGGTTTTTTCTTGCAATCCTTCGAGTTTTTTTTTTTTTTTTTTTTTTTTTTGCAGTCCAGGGTCTTTTTGCAATCCTGCGAGTTTTGTTTGCAATCCTTCGAGGTTTGTTGTGCAGTCAAGGGTCTTTTTGCAATCCTGCGAGGTTTTTTTTTTTCTTTCTTTTTGCAATCCTTCGATGTTTTTTTTGCAATCCAGGGTCTTTTTACAATCCTGCGAGGGTTATTATGCAATCCTTCGAGGGTTTTTTGC